CACCAGTAAACCTTGTCACCAAGTGCCACATCCACATGGCTCTTAAATCCCCCTAGGGATGGTGACTCCACTGCTACTCTGGGCAGCTCTGCCAGGGTTTGATTACACTTTCAGTGAAGAAATTTTCTCTAAAATCCACTCTGAGCCTGCCCTGGCCCAGCCTGAGGCCGTTCCCTCTCCTCCTGTCCCTGTTCCTGGAGCAGAGCCCGACCCCCCGGCTGTCCCCTCCTGTCAGGAGCTGTGCAGAGCCACAAGGTCCCCCCTGATCCCCCTTTTCTCCAGGCTGAGCCCCTTCCCAGCTCCCTCAGCCTCTCCTGGGGCTCCAGCCCCTTCCCAGCTCCGTTCCCTGCCCTGGACACGCTCCAGCCCCTCCAGGGCTCTCTGGCCATGAGGGGCCAGAACTGGGCACAGCCCTTGAGATCCCCCAGCAGGGCCAGCACAGGGGACAGGCCCTGCCCTGCTCCTGCTGCCACCCCATGCCTGGCACAGCCCAAGGGCCACTGGCCTCTGGCATCCCTGGGCTCGTGTCCAGCCACTGGCACAGCACCCCCAGACCTTTCTTGCTGGACACTTCCCAGCCACTCCTCCTGCCTGGAGCATCCATGGGGCTGCTGTGATGCCAGGGCAGGACCCAGCTGAACCCCATACAACTGGCCTCAGCCCGTGCATCCAGCTGTCAGATCCCTCTGTAGGGCCCTGCTGCCCTCCAGCAGATGCACACTCCTGCCCAGCGTGGTGCTGTGTTACTGAGGCTGCCCTCCATCCCCTCATCCAGGCCACCATGGAGACACCAAACAGGCCTGTCCCCAGTTCTGAGCCCAGGGCACCCCTCTGGTGACTGGCCTGGATTTAGGGCCATTACCTCCCGCATTGTGCCAACACCAGAGCCACTCGCCTCACATCCTCTGCAGTGTGCTGGTGTCATCATTGAAAACAATGAGATTTGAGTTTCAAAAACTGCTCAGTGCATGAACGCCCCATTCCAGACAAGCCTGTCCAGCTGTTCCGCTTGGCACCGTGAGTTCTGTGCACTGCATTTGTCACCGGGGGGAAATTTAAGCTCATTCCTCTAAATACCAGCAGCTGCTTGGGGTCTGCCCAGCCCTGTGGGATCTGAGGGACTGTCTCTGGGCCATGGCTGTAGACTCTGAACAGAGAGAGCCTTGAAAGCTACTTTTAAATCAGTCTGTCAGCAGCGAGAGGTGTCTGAACCGTGCTGGGCTGCGGTCTCGGGCTGTCTTCCTTCCCACTGTATTTTTAACTTTTTTCAAGAGATTGCTCATTATGCTGATTACATTATTTGCAGTGGTTTTGTCTCCTTTGATGCCTGTGCCAGTAGTGCTTATGTAAAGGGACTTGATGATACTGAATGGTAAGAATGAACAAATGCAGCAGGAATTCAATTGCTATTTTGCTCTCAAGCACAAGTGTTCTTCTTTCTAAATCAAGTCTGACCACTTACTATGTCAGCCAGCTGCTTTTGTTGGAGACATGGAGAAACTATTTAATTCACATTTGATTTAAAGGAAATTTTTGTTCCCTTGAGGTGCATTATTTAATTTAGAAGTTTTGGAAATGTATGATTTCCAAAATGCTCTGTGGGCTTTGAAAGAGTTGATCTTCATCTCAGCTACAAAATCCAATGTATTACGGGTATGTGCCAAATAACTGGCCAGCACTACCCTATCCTCTGAAGAGAGAGGGAGTTTGAAGTTATTTGTCAGATCACTCAGGAATTATTGAAGATGAGTCCTTTCAGATAGTTTTAAAATTAAATTTCTTAGTCCTGCAGCCATCCACCTCAGCTGGTACATGCAATTTCAGAAATCATGTTGTAGAGCACCTGATAATTACTTACAGTTTAAAATACCTCACTGTTACATGATTTAAAAGTTGATTAATTAGTAGATACAGCTCTTCTTAAGTTCCACATTTGAAGAGGCTTGCGAGTGTTTTCCAGTAGTTTGACAGAGCCTTCCCATGGGTGCAGTAAACGCTGCACTGCTGTGAATTTACAGCCCTGTCTGCAGCACTCGGAAGTCATCTCAGCTGCTGCCACGGCAGAGAGTTTGCAGGGGAGTTTGTGTGCTGACCTGGCAGAGAAAGAACCCTGCCAGAGCGAGTAGCTGGCTGCTGGATGAGTGTGCTGAAATGAAGTGAGGAGCTCTGGAGCCGCAGCGCTGGGATGGGATGTGGCAGCCAACAGTTGGATTGTCTTAAACTGCCAAAGACCCTCAGTCAGGGAGGCACACACGCTTCTTTCATGAGGGCTGGCAGTGCCAGGAGGGCACTTTCTAAAGAAGAATTGCCATCAGTTGGGTATTCGGAAGAAAAATGACTGTTCAAAAATGACTGTGCAAAAAAGCAAATTTTCATTATACCACGGTGGGGACACTCCATTATTAACTTCTTTGCCTCTCTGTGTTCAGACAGAGCAGGGTTTCTGTGTGCTTGATTCATCACACTTGGCTTGAGAGACAGCACAACATCTCCAGATATCGGAGAGGCTGATTCTGTGGTGCTTCAATGTCGCTTTTATTCTGCCCCTACTCAATAGAGCTTTGTGTTCTCCTGGCTCCTGGAGGTTGTAATGCTGCTATGAAGGCAGGAATGATGGGGAAATATGGACCATAAAAAATATTGGCAAACCGGTGTTTCTCAAAAATATGACTTGTGCTTAAACCAACAGCAAAATCTTTATTTGACTTTTAAATCATGGCATCTGTTTGTCTTTTGATTCTTGTGAGCCTCTAAACAAAACCATGATGTACTTTTACACCATCCCAGCAGCTCGCTGGGAACAGGGATTCAAGGCATGGTAAATATACAGGAAAAGTCTGCAGTATTCAGACCCTGTGTGAGAGGGTGTTTGTGTTTGCTGGGGTGCCATGCAGAGGGGCTGGGCTGGAGCTGCCACGGGTGGTGGCAGAGGAGGAGCACGGAGCCCTGCTCAGCTGGGCCCTGCCTGCAGCACTGGGCACAGAACTGGGGGCAGCCTGCAGTTCACTCCTGCATCTGTAGGACTTGAATCCAAACCTGAGTGGAAGACAAACTTCAGGAGCAGGACACAAATATTCCCGAGAGCTGGCAGCGTTTGCTCTGTGTTGTTGATGCTGCTCAGTCTTTCTCTCAACTTCAATTTGTTTTCCTCCAAATATGTGTTGGCACATCTGTTTGCTTGCATGTTCTGTGCTGGAAACACCCCTCCTCTTGACACCCCTGCTTTCCATCCTCTGTAACTTGGCTGGGAGCTGGAGAGAGGAAGAGACCGTGTACTTTGCAGTGGGAACTTGATTTTTCAAATCCCAAATTGATCATGGGATTGATGAGAAATGCTGTTCAAGTGTAATGGCACGTGCTTGATGATTTGCAGGACAGTAATGTATTCTGTGTGGGAACATCTGCCGTGAGGGAAGGGCTTGGGGAGGGGAATAGCTTGTCGTAGAGCTGCAGATACTACTTCAAAATTACTTACATGAATGCAAAGAATAGTTTAATTAAAGGCAGAATGCAAATTCCTCAGCTTATAGAGAAAAGTATCTGAAGAAGTCTGGTTCAGTGGTGTTACTGACCATCTGCTGGCTCCTGGTGATGCTTTTATGGCACATTTACAGGGGGCTTTGTAGGTTGCTCAGCCTCTGGAAGGACAGTACTCGATGTTTGTCTCAGTTCACTTGCTGCTATTTTTACAGCTTTCTGTGTTCAAATGGCTCAGAATAACATGCTTGTCATTCACCTGTCAGCTGAGAAATGTAACTTATTTCAGACTTCCTTCCCCTGAGAGTAGCTCTGGGATGAGGAATATCTTCAATTACCAAAAAATTCTGTGCTGTCCCATCCTCCGTGCTCTGAAAAAGCAGGTGTTTGCAGAGGTCTCTGCTTCGGGCTGACCTAGTTAAGGGTGATGCTGTGCAGCAGGTCAAGGTTGTGGAGTAAAGTTTTTAACATCACAAGAAATCCTGTTCACATTTTGGAGGCCTGTGGATGCATCATGAAGAGCTCCTGTACCAGTTTGATTTGATGAATTGCAGCATAGAGGGAGGGCTGGAGGAGCACCTGCCAGGATTTACCTGACATGTAAAGAGAGGGAGGCCCTCATGGAGCACCAGCACAGCAGCTCCAGCTCTGTGGGGTTGCTGCTGTCTCTCCCTGGTGGGATTGGGCTGTTGAACTTTGACTGCAGCTGCTGCCAGTGCTGCTCTTTTGCATTACCCTGATCATGGCTAGCTGTGATGTCTGCCCTGTTTGGCTGGCTGGGGGTGAGAACTCGACCTGCCCCTGTGCTCAGGTGAGCCCCCAGCTGCAGAGCTGCCCCAGCCCTGTCCCAGCACAGGGAGGAGCTGGAGCTGCTGGAGCCAGGCCAGAGGAGGCTCCAGGATGAGCAGAGGATGGAGCAGCTCTGCTGGCAGGAAAGGCTGGCACAGCTGGGATTGTTCACCTGCAGAGGAGAAGCTTTGGGCTGAGCTCAGGGTGGCCTTGCAGGGCCTGGAGGAGCCACAGGAAACCTGGAGAGAGACAATTGACAAGGGATGGAGACAACAAGATAAGGGGGAATGGCTTCCCAGTGCCAGAGGCAGGGATAGATGGGACATTGGGCAGGAATTGTTCCCTGGGAGGGTGGAGAGGCCCTGAGGTTGCCCACAGAAGCTGTGGCTATCCCTGGAAGTGTCCAGGGCCAGGTTGGATAGGGCTGGCAGCAGCCTGGGACAGTGGTAGGTGTCCCTGCCATGCAGGGGGCACTGGATGGGCTTTAAGGTCCTTTCCAACCCAAACCATTCTGGGATTCCATGATCCAGTGTTACAATTTTCTGTCTACAGAAGGAACAGGTGCCATTAGTGGTTTCAGAACTCTTTAGAACAAAACAAATGTGGAATTTTTGTGTTCCATGACGGGTTACTGATTAGTGGTCACTTTTGGGGTTAGGCAAAAGTTTTCTACAGAAGGAAATAACCCCCAAGTTCTAACAGTTGTGTTTTGTTTTCTCCCCTCTCTGACACAGGTTGCCAACTTGGCCTGCTCCATCTCCAACAACGAGGAGGGTGTGAAACTGGTTCGCATGTCAGCCAGCCAGCTGGAGGCCCTGTGTCCCCAGGTAAGGAGAGGCTTCACAACAGGAGACAAACCCCAGCCAGCTGCTGCTGCTTAGGACGTGCTCTGGTCTCCTAGTGGCTGGCTGTGACTTGCTGCAGAACTTGATTTTTTCCCTTCGTACATGTGTAGAGGATGAAATGCAACATAGGCATCAAGTCTTAGGAACTTTAAAATCCATGGCAAAGGAATTACTGATGTAAAAGGGTCGTTTTTATGTCATAGCTCTAATTCCATTTGGCCAGGACTTTCCAGTAACCTGCAGTTAGTAAATGTGGGAAGCTTCAGTGGTTTCCTGTGCACATCTGTGCTGCAGGAAGGTGCCTTGTGAAGGTGCTAGCACTGCTCCTGGGCATGTTGTAAGATGAATTATAAAATGCTATTTTTGCCTGAGTAGAATATAAATATGCCAAATAATCTTCCCAATGGAGTAGGATGAGAGGAAGTTGGCTATGTGTGAACAGTGTGAGCCTGACTGAGACTACCTTTTAATTAATAACTTTTCAATGGAAACAAGGAAATTAAGTTTATATAAGCACTAGACTGTCCTCTTCCTTTTTGACAGCCTGGTGTTTTAAATGTCAACATCTAGATACTTGGATGAACCCCTGAAGACTGCAGGGTGCTGCCGATTTGTGTAATTTACATTTTTTAAAGTAACAGGAAATTCAGATTGAAAACATCCAAATAAGCTGTTGCTGGTAAGGAGGAAGTAACAGAAAATATGTACTCAGAAAAATTGGCAAAATGTCATTTTATGAATATAAAGTGTATTGTCTCAGGATTACTTGGATTTTCTCCAGGTTTTCCCATCTGTATTGGTCTTTTCTAAAACCAGTCAAAAGGAAGAGGGGTGTTCACCTGTACCCACCCCAGCAGGATTTGGGAATAGGTGAAGGCAGTGTAAGGAGCAGGACTGTTTTACCTTTTGTATGACCTGCAGGTAACTGTGCTGTTAAACAGGTGAAGACAGGCCCCTGAACATAAAGCCTAAAACTTTAAAAGCTTAATGTTTAATCCTAATCCTTTGGGCATCCCAGGGTGGCTCTCTGTGCTCCCACTCTGGCATTTGGCTGAGCAGTTCTCTGCCCCAGCCCTGGGCTGAGGGCTGTGCATGGCTGCTGAAACCAAAGGTCAAATTTTGCAGTTGGAACAAAGCATGTGGAAGAAAAAGCTTTTACAAATCCATCTTCCCTGGTACGAGGGCTTGCTCTTTTCTGAAGGAGCCAACTAGGCTGATGTAAGTTTTTTTTTAGTTATCTCCCAGACTATGGATGTCTAACGCAGGGTGTTCCAAACAAATGCTGCTGCTTTTGAAAATAATCATCTGAAGAAAGTTAGGTTCTCTTTTAATCTAAATGTTTCTGGTGGTTGTCCAAGTCTGTGGGGGTGTTTTCCTCTCCCCATTGCTGAAATTGTGTGTATTTCAGACTCTTCTATCTTTGCTTTTCTAACAACTAACTGCCTATTTAAATAAATCTACTCCTGGATAAAATAAGCACCGTGGTAGTCAGCATGAAATAATGACCCAGCTGTAGTCACCAGTGTAGCCACATCTCCTGAAGTGCAGCTGTTAACCTTTGACTTTGGGGATTATGGACAATATATTTAACACACATTGGAAGCTCTGAGTATCTATAAATGCACGAGGGCTTTAACTGATGGATTTTGGCTTTACAAAGGTCACATCTCTGAACTTCCAAGCCTACAGTTGAGATACTCCACTGCGCAGTCTTGCCTTAATTTCAGGGTTGTCACCAAGAGATTAGTAAATGACACTATAGATGTTCATAGTAGTTAAAAGAGTGCTTTTATATTACATTACATGCTCTTGGGTTGATTCTTTAATGCTCTAAGAGTATTTAAACATGTTGTGAATCCTGAGAGATAATTAGGGGCACTTGTCTAAGCTGTTTCATAAATGGCATCCGTGTTCTCTGGTAACAATAGCTTGTCTGGTGGCAGTGCAAGCAGCACAACCTCCATCCTCCTCCTCCTCAGCTGCCTTCCTCAGCTTGTCCCCAAACCCTGGGTATTCTCCATAATCTCTAAAAGATTCTCAGTATCAAGAACCACAAAGTGAGATTTTATTTCCTTTTCTAGACAATTACCTATTTATATTGCATTTTATTCCTGTTGAGATTCACAGGTGCTTCTTGAATCCTCTTAGGTGGTTGTGCTGAACAAATGTGTGAATTAGGCATAAGATACAGGTTAAACCCAATATGACATATATGCCCTATATGTTTTTGGATGGATATTTTTTGGCTCAGGTGGTATTTTTCCAGGAAGATGCTGCATTCAGAATGAGTCAAGTCAATCACTAATTACAATAGTCCCAGAAACGTCAAGATATCAGTAGCACACAGAAACACAATATATGAAATGTAATTCAAAGTATTGCTGTGCTTGAAAGATGAAACTGAAATTTAGTGCACTTGAGTGCCAGGTAACCTCTTAAATAGTTTATCTGAGTAGAAGCCATTCTGGGAGTAGGGAATTCCTGGTTAAAGAATGATTTCTGCAGAAATCAATCTGTAGAGTTAATTATAAAAGCTGTAGCTCAAATAGAGCCGTAATTCGCTCCCTTGCCATCAGGGCCATTGAACTGGCAGCAGGAGGAAGGAACATGCAACTCTTCAAGCTGGCTGGGGAAAACCTGGAAATTTTGTTGGTATTGACAAGCAGTCAGTCCTTGCCAGTGTCACCCTTGGGTTCAGACCTCCTCAGGTTTAAAATTTTCTTTGAGAAAAAAGAAAAAGCGGAAAATTTTTCATCAAAAGGTCTCCACAGAAACAAGCAGTCAATTTATTTAGCGTGGTTTTATTACTGGAAATCAGCTCTTCTTCAGGAGTAACATCATCATCATCCTTCCTGCTTGTGGGTCCCCAGCCAATTAGAACAGAAATTAATGTGAAGCTGAAGACTTAATGGGATATTTAAAGCTCCCTTCGAGGGTGCAGGAGGAGCTGTTGGGATGAGCTGTGCCAGAGTAGCCAGCTCGGTGAGTTTAGTCTGGGTTTACAGGGCAGAAATAAGGCAGCTTCAGTGGGTCACTGTGTTTTCTTCCTCAAGCCCTGACTTACCAGCCTGCCTGAATACTTTCTTTTGAGAATTGCTGGAATTCTGTGTGGGAGGAACCAGCTTTGTCCAGCACCTCGAAGGAGTTCCCTCAGCTGGGTGCTGGGATCAAGCCAGGCTGGAGGGGGTTAAGATGAAGGAGCAAAGTTCTCCATCACTACAATTACATTTTAAAAAAAGATGCTTAAACTGTCTTTCATGATGGAAATGGAAAGTTACTGCTGTAAAATGCTTGGAATAGCTGCCTGTGCCTGTCTTTACCTCACAGAGCAGGGGGGAAGTTTTCTTTGCTTTCTCACTAAACACAGAGCTTGCCAGTGGTGAATTAGGGAAAGGTTTTGTTTATCTCGACTCAGAAACCTGGATCCTCACTCCCAGCTCTGGCGTCTGCGCTCTGTCTCCAAGAAGGACTTGCTTTGGAAGCCTGCAAAGGCTGTTTTGTAACAGCATTTTACATTAAAGATGCCTGGGAAGAGAGCTGAAACCATTGGAGTGTTTCTGATCATACAGGCTGTAGGTGTTATAAACCAGCAGTGAAAATGCCCCAGCCCAGCTCCTGAGAGGAGGAATTGCTCCAGCCTTTTGACGTGACAGTCTGCTGTCACTCAAGCTCCTTTTTTACCAGCTATACATTGCTTTTCTTGGTTTTTGCAGCCTCCATGAAGTTCATCTATAGACTCCTACCCAAAGTCAGTCAGGCTGAGAGGTGTAAGAAATAACTGTGGGGAGAATTCCTATCAGGTTGGGTGTTGGCTTCTTCCAGCCAAAGCTGGAGCCCATTGCCCTGGAGCTGAGCATCTCCGGGGAGGTGGCTGCAGGACAGACCTGCCCAGGCCACACAGGACCTGTTGCCCATGAAAGGCAGGGCTGGGTGTGTTTCTCCACCCCAGCCCAAAGAGCTCATCCTCCAAAGGAACTTTGAGGCCCCCAGGCAGCCCCTGGGAGCACAGATCCTTCCCAGCCCCCTCCATACCTGCTGGAGTGTGCTTGGAATTGCTCGCCACGCACACCCATCACCCATCAGACTGATTCCAGAGAATTCTTGGATTAAATTACATTTTTAATAAAAATAAATTGGCTCTTCTCATATTAACATCTTGTTTTAATAACTGCTTGTTCACATCATTCTATTCCAATTTTGAACTGCTTGAAAAGCCATTTGCTGCTTATAGATTTCTGATGAGGCAGATGGCTCATATGTGATCACACCTACTGACACAGAGACAAAATACCAAAGCAGAAGGAATCCCATGGAGAGTTCCAGAAACTTTTGTTTAAAAGTTGGAATATCTTAGAGAAATAAAAAAACCTGCAGACTACCCCTCAAATCAACCAAACCCATATGTGACCAGCAGACTGTTCTCCTTGAGGCCCCAGTCACCACCAATTTCCTGGTGGCTGTTGGAGAAGGAGAGAACTTCATTTTTCTTGCAGTAAAGATTTAACATCAAACAATTGTCCCTTTTTTTCATCGCTTTGAAAGACTGTCAGATTTCTTGAATGTTCTAACGAGCAGATCTGTCTCCAGACTGTTTAATTGCAGGTGCTTGAAACATTTTATTGGCATTGAGTAGAAATGCTTTTATTAAAAACTTAACACTTGGGTTGCAGATTTGCATCATCCAGGCTTGCTGGGAAGAACTGCCAGCACAGGCCAAGGCTGACCAGAAAAGCAACAATTTTAGAAATTCAAACAGTTACTGGTGCATAAAAATAAGAAGAGAGAAGAGGAAAAGAGGAGAGCAAGAAGAGGATTCGGTTCAGTAGAAATAAGTGTGTTAGTGAGTAAGGGCCCTTTGTTTCATCACAGGCACAGGAGCTGGGGAGCACAGTGGTGGAACACCTTCCAGGAAAGACACAAATTCCCTGGGACCCCCAAAGTTCCAGCATTTGAAGCCAGTAAAATGTAAAATGGAGCAAGAT